AAACTAAAGGCCAATATCTCTGATGAACATTGATGCAAAAATCCTCAATAAAATCTTAGCAAAGCAAATAAACAATCCATCAAAAAAATTATAATCATAATCAAGTGGGATTTATCCCTGGAACCCAAGGCTGGTATAACACGCAAATTGATCAATGTGATATATCACATTAACAGATTGAAAGAAAAAAAATCACATGATTATCTCAATTGTTGCAGAAAAAGTTCAACATCCTTTGTCAATAAGAACTCTCAACAGAAGGAAGGTCTCAACATAATAAAGTCCATTTGTGAAAAACACACAGTTAGAATAATAATCAATGGGGAGAAACTGAAAGCTTTTCCTCTAAAATCTGGTTCAAAGCAAGAATGCCCAGTCTCACAACTTTTATTCAGTATAGTTCTGAAAGTACTATCAAGAGCAATCAGACAGGAAAAAGAAATAATATACAAATCAAAAAGAAAGAAGTAAAATTATCTATATCTCCAGATGAGATGGTCCTCTATGTAGAAAACCCCAAAGATTCCACCAAAAAAACTGTTAGAATTAATAAATGAATTTAGTAAAGTTGCAGGATACAAAATCAACATACAAAAATCCATGACATTTCTATACACAAATAATGACCTAGGTAAAAAGAAATCAAGAAAACAACCGCATTTATAATAGCACCAAAAACTAAATACTTAGGAATAAATTTAACCAAGGAAGTTGTAGTGGATTGAATTATGTCCCCCCAAAACTCACTGAAGCTTGAATTGTGTCTCTCAAGTTTCATGTATTAGGAAGTTGGCCCCCATTGTGACTGTTAAGAGAGTGGGAAATCTTATTATGATAATTGAAAGGTGGAGCCTTGAGGAGGTGATTAGACTGTAGGACCACGCTGTAGTGAATGGGTTAAAAATGGTGGTCAGGGGCCTGGTTCTGAGGGCTTTAAAAGAAGAGAGAGTAGAGTCTATCTCTCTCTCTCTCTCTCTCTCTCTCTGCTCTCTCTGCTTCCATCATCTTGCAATGTGAGACCCCTGGATGGACTTTGGATTTCCCAGTCTCAGAAAAAGTGACAAATTTCATTTTCTTTACAAATTACTCAGTTTCATGTATTTTATTATAAGCAACAGAAATGAACTAATACAGAAGTGAAAGACCTGTACACTGGAAACTAAAAAACATTGATGAAAAAAGTTGAAATGGACACAAATAAGTGAAAAGATATTTCATGCTCATTGATCAGAAAATTAATAGTTAAAATGTCTATACCATCCAAAGCAATATACAGATCTAATGCAGTCCCTATAAAAATCCCCAATGGCATTCTTCACATAAATAGAAAAAACAATCTTAAAATTGGTATGAAATCACAAAAGATCCTAAACAGACAAAGCAATTTGATTAAGAAAAACAAAGTTAGAAGCATCACACATCCTCATTTAAAATTATATTACAAAGCCACAGTAATCAAAATAGTATGGCACTGGCATAAAAACAGACACATAGACCAAAAAAACAGAATAGATAGCTCAGAAATAAATCCAAACATATATGATCAACCAAGTTTTGATAAGGGCACCAAGAAGACACAATGGAGAAAGGATAGTCTCTCAATAATTGGTTGTGGAAAAACTGGATTTCCATATGCATGAGAATAACATTAGACTCTTATCTTACACCATACAAAAAAATCAATTCAGAATGGACAGAAGACCTAAACATAAGACCTGAAACCAGTAAACTCCTAGAATAAAACATAGGGGAGAAGCTCCTTTACACTGGCCTTGGCAATGATTCCTTGGGTACCACATTAAAAGCTCAGGCTACTAAAGCAAAAATAAATGAATGGGACTACATCAAACTAAAAAGCCTCTGCATATCAAAGGAAACAATCAATAAAATAAAAAACACAACCTACAAATTGGGAAAAAATATATTCATTTATATCTTTTGAGGGGTTAATATTAAAATTTATAAAGAACTCATACAACTCAATAAAAAGAAAACATACAACCCAGTTAAAAAATGGGCAAAGTACCTGAATAGACATTTCTCCAAGGAAGACATAAAAATTGCCAACAGGTATATGAAAAGGTGCTCAACATCACTAATCATCAGGGAAATGCAAATCAAAACCACAAGGAGATATCCCCTCACATCTGTTAGTATAGCTATCATCAAAAAGACATGAGATAACAAGTGCTGGCAAGAGTGTGGAGAAAAGGGAACCCCTGTACATTGTTGGTAGAAATGTAGATTGGTGTGGCCATTATGGTTAGCAGTATGGAGGTTCCTAATGAAATTAAAAATGGAATTACCGGATGACCCAGTAACCTGTTTTCTGGGTATAAACCCAAAGGAAATGAAATCACCACCTCATAAAGATATCTGCATTCCCATGTTCATTGTAGCATTTTTCACAATAGGTAGGTAAAGTATGGAAACAATCTGTCAGTCAACAGACAAATGGATGAAGAAACTAGTGTATATATATAAAATGGAATATTATTCAGCCTTAAAAAAGGAGATTCTGCCATTTGCCACAACATGGATGGACCTGGAGGAAGTTATGGTAAGTGAATTAAGCCAGACACAAATAAATATTGTATGGTCTTACATGTATAATCTAAAAAAAAAAAAAAAAAAAAAGGCAAAAAAAAAAAAAAAAAAAAAAAAAAAAAAGGTCAAATATACAGAAATAGAGAATAAACAAGTGGTTATCAGGGGTGGAGGTGGGGGAGGAAATGGGATATAGGTCAAAGGATTCAAAGTAGCAGATATGTAGGATGGACACGTCTGAAGATCTATTGTACAAAATAAGGACTAACATTAATAAAGTGTTTTATATTCAGGATTTTTGCTAAATGGGTAGATTATAGCTGCTCTTGCCACAGGGTAAAAATGGGTAACCATTTAAGATAGTGGATGCATTCATTTGTTTCACTAATTTGTTCCATTTTACTATATATATGTATCTCATAACATCATGCTGTTAAAAATAAATTTTAAAGATTTATTTAAAAAACAATAAATAAAACAAACAAGTAAAGAGATTTGACAAAGGTCATACAGTGAAAGCAGAGAGTCAGGGCTAGGTATAAAATTGAACAGAATTTTCCATTTTGGAAATCTTTTTTTCTTTGCAAAAGGAGTTTCATGGAACACAATTTAAATGGTATTCCAAGAATTTTATACACAGTGTGTGGGTGGAGTAGATATTTATTCTCAGCTGAAAAGAGCCTAAAACTCTGGCCAGTTCCCTAAAGCAAGAATGACAGATAGGTTTCACCTTCTGAGGTCAGTGTGAGTGTCTGTGGTATCGCTCTGGGTAGATATGGGCTCCAGGTTGGACCTACAGGAACACAGAGCCATGAAGCTTTGAACATTGGAGGGGAGGACGGTGGTATGCATGCCAAGTTTTGGCTTTCCTTTTCCAGGAGCTTGTCCCCAACCTGATGACAGCATTTTTACGTTAATTTATTAACCAAACTAAGTGCCTCTCTTAAGAACTAATTTAGTTAGATACAATTTCACTGCCATTTGGAAAACAAAACCTTCTTTTAAAATTGCCTCTAGAATTCTGACAGCAATTAGAATCACAGTCAAAGAACAATAGAACATTTAGATATCATCTACTCTAACAGTTTTCAACCTAAAAAATAAAAAACAAAACAAAAACTCATGGAACCCTTTCTACACATGGAATTTTAAGGAGGAACTTCTGGGGATGCTGGAAACAGCTGGGAGACATGGAACTAGATCATCCAAAGAAGTTGCTGAACTTGAAGCAACAGCAAATAATGCAAACAAGCTTAGCTTAACCACTCCCATTTCTGGTCTTCTAACCTCAATTAGTAGATCGGGAGAATGAATAAAACTGAAGAAAAGAAGGGTGTCAGCAGAGAGTGCAGGAGGGCCCAAGAAAGAAGAAGAAATGAAAAAGGAAGAAATGGAGAAAGGAAGATGAAAGAAGGAAGAAAGGGAGGGAAACGACAATAACAGCCAGTATCAATTTCAGCAAATTCTTGGAATAATGGAAAAATCTCTACATAAAAAAGTGATAGGATGCTCCCTCTCTCCCCACCCCCTACCCCATATTCTACAATCTTCCTAGGCTTAGCGATTTAAAGATAAATGAAAGTTAAAACTAATTGTAAGAGACAATATTTAAAAATAATTTAGCTTTTTGTCTTCAGTCTAGAGTTGTTTCTAATCTTCTGATGATTCTTTTTAAAATGGTTATGTTTTTATCTCCACTTTCTGAGTTAAGACAGTAATTCCCACAGAAACTAAAAAGAAGTAATAGACCTTAAAACCAGAAATAATTGTAATTAGCTATTATTTAACCCTTAATTACATCTAAAAGTTTTGTATGTTATTTCAGGTTATACAATCATTTTCTAATTTATTTTCAATTTCTAGGGGAAACAGATAAAACTCAAAACTAGAATAGATGGGCCGGCCCGGTGGCGCACTGGATAGGTGCACCGCTTGGGAAGCGCGGCGGCGCTCCCGCCCGAGGGTTCGGATCCCACATACAGACCGGTTCCCCCTCACTGGCTGAGCGAGGAGCGGGAGCAACGCCGAGGGTTGCGATCCCATTGCCGGTCCCCGGTCCGGTACGGGGGCAACACTGAGGGTTGCGATCCGTTGCCGGACACGGAAAAAGACAAAAGACACAAAAAAAAAAAAAAAAAAAAAAAACTAGAATAGAAAAGGAAGCATATCTTTTTTTCTAATGCAGAATAAGAGAAAATGTAAATTTTTAAAAAGAGGAAGAAAATGTTGCTATGCTCAGGTTATTTTGTTTCACTTTTTGGCAAAAACCTAAAATGCATTTATTAAATACACAGTACCTTTGGAATAAGAGATATTATCTAGTTACACATTTTTATTTATATAAATCAGCCTTACTAAGTTTAAATTATGAATTGCTAGCAAAAATATAGGAGAATTTGAATATATTAAGAGGACAAGTAAAAAACGTGTCAGAACAACTTAAAAATACTCACCAACTATTTTATGATCAGTGTGGTTTAGATGCTTTTTACATATGTAAGGCAAGGCGGACTCACAATCTCGACTCCTCCAGGAACTTGGCATAAATGAGTTAAATGTTCCACAGTGATATTCAACAAATGGGTCAAAACTTATCTCTGAAAATATAAGGTGTGTAATTTCATATTAGAAGCAAAAGTGGTTAGTTTAATACACATTAAAATATAGCTTTAGCATCAAGGGGACAGCCCTTCTATTTGGTATATATAGTGAATCCTACAAGATGTTATGATATATCTGTAACTTTGTAGTTAAAATCCAGGCATGACAATTAACTGATTTCTCAAAGATTATGAAAGACCCAATTTTATTGTTTTCAAATAGATAGGTATTTTGCAATTTGTTGCTAGTTTTAAAGCAGCAGACTGGAAACTTGGCTCTGACTCAAATCCTCCTGCAACCTTGGCTGTGGCTTACCTTCTTGGCCTCCATTTTCTTGTCTGGAAAAGCTTGTATTATAGCAATTCAGTCAGGCTGGAAAATGTTTATAAACTATTTTCAGAATAACATGGTTTATATCTACATAGGAAATGCTGCTGTTTGAGGCTACAGATGACGCCACATGTTGAAGGCAAGTAAAACACCGAGGGTACCTGGTTTCCAGTTCAGATAGCCGAGTGGTGTCCCATCAGACCACTGCCAGCCAGCGTTTCCATCCAGCTGATTCAGACCTATCCACACTTCTAGGGCTTCATTGCTCATGTGCTCTGAAATGAAAATGACAAAATTTCAAAAATTCAGTGTTACACTTCCTTCTTGTTTTCCTGTTCCTGGATCATGGAGTCATCAATTAATCCCAGTCAGTGACAAAAAAGGGTTTAGGTGCTACTAAAACCCATCCTGGTGCTTCAGAGTGACAAAGCAAGCCTCCACTATGTTGAGAAACACTGCTGTTTTCCAAAGGCTCACTGACAGCTGCTCCTTAGCTGTGAAGTTCTTCATCCAAACATTCAGAAGTGTTGCCTTTCAGTGGTCGTCAATCTGTCCAAGGTGCATGGTTACAAATTCGAGGCTATTTTATTTGTGTGAGCTCATGCTCTTAAGCGTTTTAGAGGGTGGAGGAGGAAGTGTCCAGGGCTACTCCCAGAAAATGTACAGATGCAAATCTTCAAATTTAGGAAGGTATGCTGAGAAGAGCAGGGAGGGGGCTGTATGGTGTGACAGCCACTAGACATTGTCTGGCCAAGAGGAGCTGCATAATCCAAGTGCCGGAGGGATCCTAGCAGGTTGGGACCTAAGGCCATATGCAACACAAACGCTGGGCTGCTTCCACAACTGGGGGTGGAAGGGCTGAATCTGTGGCCCCCACTCCTAACCACTCACTGCACCACAGCAACTCATGGTTTAATTCAATGCCATTTTTGTTATAGATGCTATGAAAAAATACATGCATTGACATACTTGTGCAGAAAAACCTGGTTCTCAATATTTTTAAATTATGGAAAAATTTTTCTTTGGTTTTTCTCTTTGTGCATGTGAATTTTGAAAATTATCCTAAAATAAACATGTATTATGTGCACAATAAAATTTGGAAAAACCCCAGTGTTAGAAACTTTTAAGGAAAGTGGCTAATTTTGTGACACTTTCAAATGTTGCTATTTAATCATTTAATCTATAAAGGAGAGCACTGTTCTGTTACGGCTCATCTGCTTTAGAACACAATTTATATTGAGCCAGATGCAGAGGCCCAGCCTGAGACTGAGACTCTGATAGATAAGAGTTGTAAGTAGAGTATCTGTTTGTCCCAGTTTGCCTGGAAAACTCATGGCTTGTGCTGGTAGTTCCAGAATAATTATTAATTGCAGCCGCTTTTACTCTCAAAGAGTCTCGGTTTGGATGATAGATTGTATGATTATCCACGTTATGAAGGTCAGTGTATTCACATAACAAGGCTGCATTGTCCTCAGTGATTGCACATTTCAAAACAGTAGTAAAAAAGAGAAAAAGGTGCTTTATAACTTTGAGACTCCAGAAATCACTAAACAGAAACAGCATGGGCCCCACTCTTCCAAGTGTCTGTGGCATTAACATGGCATTTCTTCCTAATGTCCATTTGATTACTTCTTTGATAGCACCATTTGATTAAATCATTTAACAGGTCTTGGGATAACAAGAGGTGAAATGAAAGATGGATTGATGAGATAGGAAGAAATTTCCACATTTTATGTATGTTTAAGTGCCAAATGATATTTTAAAATAATGTAACTATAATATTTAAATGTTAATTATTCTTAGAATTATTTTGAATACCCATTGTGAAATTGTTTTAATCATATGCATTAAAAAACATTGTGTGTGGGGCCGGCCCGGTGGCGCACTGCTACAGTGCGCCGCTTGGGAGCGCGGCGGTGTTGCAGTGGCGCTCCCGCCAAGGGTTCGGATCCCATGTACAGACCAGCCGGTCACTGGCTGAGCGAGGTGCAGGAGCAACACCGAGGGTTGCGATCCTGTTGTCGGTCCCGGTCTGGTACGGGCGCGACACTGAGGGTTGCGATCCATTGCCGGTCATGAAAAAAAGACAAAAAGGAAAAAAAAAAAACATTGTGTGTTTTTAATTTGTGTTTAAACGTCCAAAAAAAATCTTACCTTTACAACTAAATTGGCCCACAATACGAATAGCAGACTCAAACCAAAATTTCTTTGGATAATTCTTGGCATTTGTGACAGCTTAGGTAATTCCTTACATCACAGTTAATGTTTACCAGTGATTAACAAGAAATATTAGACTATTCTCATCATTAAAAAATATCTCAGAACAGGTTTCTGTCTTTATGAACGGACTTCTGTTTTACAATTCCCAAAGTCTAATTATAGAAAGGAGGTAATTAAATCAAAATTTTTGACATCTTATTTTTAAAAATTGCTATTCAAACTTGATGAATAAATGTAAACCCTCTCATGAGAAATCCTGGCAGTTAAGATAGATAACAATTATAATTCATAAACAGTGTGCAAACTTTTATATAAAAACAATTACATGTAAATAATGATTTTGGAAATCGGCATTTTCCTGCACTATGACTCACTCAAATTAGTTTCAATGATACTTCCCCTCTTTTGCGAGGCTGTGGGGAAAGAGCAGGCATGTTCTGTTCATACATTTGTTACAATCCTTATGGAAGGTACTAATGACTTGCAAAAGCTTTAAAGTGTGATTCCTCTACCGTCCAGTGGATCTACTTCTATAGACTTACAGAAAAATAATTGCGGATCTATACACAAAGGTATGTGCAGGGACAATTTATAATAGCAATAAATAAAAACAAAGTAAATCATTTTCTCTCTCTATCCCTAATAGGAGGAGATAAGATCAATATATAACTGCTAACCTGTGCTATTCTCTAACCATCAAAAATTATGATGTAGATCTACATGTGTATTTATAGACCTGGACAGATGTCCATTTTATTCAGGTAAGTGAAATAAGCAGATTACCAAACTGTGTGCATAGCTGTTGTTAAATGGTTACCACACACTGAGGGTTTGTTATATGTGTCAGGCAGTTTTCTAAGACTACCTGCATTACAAGATGTAATCCATATCAGGAAGTAGACACTACTATTATTTCCACTTGATAGAGGGGGAAACTGAGGCACAGAGTGGTTAAGTCACTTGCTTGGGAAGCCCTGACAGTAAGTGGTAGAGGAGGGATTCAAATACAGGCAAGAGGTTCTCTGGTCCCTGCTCCTAAATTAATAGCTTCCTCATGTTTTTATAAAATACTATTTGGTAGAGATTCTATGTATGCATACGTGTATTTACATATTTTTTAAAAAAAACGTAGTTATCGGGCCGGCCCGGTGGTGCACTGCACTAGTGCGCCGCTTGGGAAGTGTGGCGGCGCTCCCGCCGAGGGTTCAGATCCCACATACAGACTGGTTCCCGCTCACTGGCTGAGCGAGGCGCGGGGGCAACACCGAGGGTTGCGATCCCGTTGCCGGTCCCGGTCCAGTACAGGGGCGACACTGAGGGTTGCGATCCGTTGCCGGACACGGAAAAAGACAAAAAAAACAAAAAACAAAAAAAAAAAACGTAGTTATCTCTGGATTGTAGAACTATGGGAGCTTTTTAATTTGTTTTTCCTTCTGGATACCTGAATTTTAAAAATTATTCTAAAATAAACATGCACTACATATGCAATAAAATTTGAAAAAACAATTGTCAAAAACTTTTAATAAAAGTGACTAATTTTGTGAGAATTTCTAATGTTTCCAAAAATTTTTAAGAGGTATATGTACACACATACAAATGCATTTAATCTATAAAGGAGAAGATGGGAGTTTAGGTGATGGGTGAAACGTAAGTCTGCATTCATAAGCCCAATTCTTTTGACATTTTATATTACTGTCTTACACTGTTAGTGAACATGTGTGTGTTTTTGCTTTTCCCACTAAATTTTATTAAGTTCATTGGCACCCACCAGAAGGCCCATGGTGTACCTGCACACCGTGAGTGATAGATAAGATTTTGTTTAATTAGTAAGTCACTTAATTATTTATTAATGGAAATTGAATAGCCAAGATCTCCGGAAGAGCAGGAATTGGCACTTAAGCTTAGAAGTCTCCCTGACCCACTTGCTAGAGCTGTGACTCTCCTGGGTCCCTTGCTGTGGCCTCAAATTCTCTTCTCCAAGGAGGATAAAATAAGGAAGATGTGCCTGGGTGCCAAATGGAATGGTCCAGGGTTTGTGTAAAAATTATGGGTGAGAGTTTGGGCCATATTAGAAAACAAAAAAAATTTTAATGAACTTTTTTCAGAATATATTTTTGCATACATGAACATAATTGTTGACAATAGTGACTTTATTGTATCAATATTATCATGCATCATCCACCCACTTACTCCTTATGAAATTTTCTTCAGTTTCATCCGCAATACTTAGTAAAGCGCCTCCTTGCATCTGGCATGAAGAATGTGCCTCACTCCAAGAGAGAGATGAAAGCAGGTTGAATTGGTAGCAAATGTGTGAACTGAGGTTCTTCTCCCAGACAGCGTCACAACCTATGTCTGCAGAGGTTGGAAACAAAGTCCACTGAAAAAATTCACTATAGTCTTATTTTATCTATACAGAGAGATATATTTTTCTTTTTTTTTTTACAGTGATATATTTATAGGATGAATTTGAATGGAATAATTCCAACTCACAACCTCTAAAACTTCAGTCCCTTATTCTTAATTAGTTCTTTAGAATGAAATCTACATTGTAATTCCCATTGACATCCTACTGTTAAACCCTTTCAAGATTTACCTAGGGAAATTCAAAAAATTATCAATAAAGAAGCTCTGATTATTTCTGGGAAAATAGTAGAAACCAGTTTTAAGAAAAGGAAACAGAAGTGAAGTATTTATGAAAATAACATCTGAGTTCTTCAAAAAGGAGTCATTTAGAATTTTACATTGAAAGCTGTCTGAATTTAAAAGTTTATCTGAGTTAGACACAATGTTGCTTCAAGAAGCTTTTTCTCTCCCAAATACCAAAATCATAGATGAAATAAAAGGGATACAATAGAAATTATGTATCAATAATGAACACAAGTTTTCAAATAAACATGGAGCACAGGACCACTGATATTTAGTTAGGAAAGTTCTCTTACACAAGAGGAACAGAAGCAAAATCTACTTGTAAGACACTGGCCAAAGATTGCACATATACTTAAAAGTAAATTCAATAAAGTGAACAGTGAATCTGACATCTGAAGTTTACTGAAATAAAAAAATTTAAGACCTTGTGTGGGTGATTTTGCTAAAATTTTAAATCAAACCCCAAGGCGAACTAAGTAGCCACAATAATTACCAGAAATCAAACTTAGCAAAGAATTTCAGAATGTAGAACATGTGACTCATATTAACAACATGAGTGCAATCATTAGGACAGGCAACTTGCATCTAGAACAGCCTTTCCCAAAGTGTGGGCCTCAAAGTAAGACAACTTCTAGAGGCTCCCCAAGAACATCTGGGATGTGAAACATACATGTGTCCTCTGGGAAATTCACAATGTACATTAGCATATTAAAGACTCTGGGAAGTTCTGTAGTAAAGAAACATACTTAATTTTAATTCGGTATACTTGAAACTTATTTGACAATAAAATCTTATTCATTGTTTTCTTTTTCATGTCTGGTCACAACATATATTTCCAAGAACTGAGCTAGTTAACCAGAAGTTACCAAATCATGTATAAACCTAAGCGTTTCCATAGTGTTTCCTGACTGATATGTGTATTTGTAGAAGGATCTGATATTGAAGGAGGACAGAAGACAAGACTATCACCAACTAACACTGAATGAAAGGAATAGAAAGGAAGGGGAAAGAGAGGGGGAACTTTTCAGCAACTATTTTGCCCTGGTGGCTGAAATTTCCCCACTGAGATGAATCCTTAGAGATTGTCTTCAGTCAAATGCTAGGCCTTCCCCACTGAGCATTATCAGACATAAGTTCCACCATATTCACATAGTGTGACAGCCAAGACCATGAGGAGGAGCAGGGAACTGTTTGCAATTTCAGTGTGCATAAAAATCATTCAGCCAGATTGTAAAAACATGCAGATTCCTTGCTCTTAGTCTCAGAGATTCTAAACCAGTAGGCCTGGGGGTGGATTCAGGAACATGCATTTAAAATATATTCCTGGTTCTAATGAAGATGTTCCATGAAGCAAACTCTAGGAAACGCTGGCTTCAAGGAAAAAAATTCAAAGCACTTCCCAAGGAGGGCAGGTCTGAGCAGCCCTTGGTTACTAGAAGATAGTAGGATGTCAAACAGAAAGGTCCCAGGAGAGAAGGGAGTCAGCCCTGTGGATAGGTACCTGCCTCTCACCTCCTGTCATGGGGGAAGATAAATCCTAAATATGTGTCCAGGCCACAGCCACATACATGATAAGAAAAGGCCTGGAAGACACATCAGCTGATCTCATTCCCATCTTTGTGAAGAGTTGGTCCTACCCTTTCAGTACAACCTTTTGTAGTAACCTGCCTAAATTCTATATGCTAAACAGTTGAGGTGAGAGGCTTGCAGGTGATCGTGTCTATGCTGCAAATTACATACCCTAGTTTATGTTAGATTTCCCTTGGTTTCAGATTATCTGTGCCAATTCTTAAGGTTAATTGGTTGGGAACTTTCAGTCAAATATTTGCAATAGGTGCGCATATTCTCCCAACACATAAGTTCATTTGTCTTTGAAATTTGGTATAACTAAAAATTTGAACTTTTGTGCAGGCAGACACAGGTTCTTTCTCTGCTTCTCTAGGTGGATCTCATTTGAAGGTTTTAAATGATAAATGGTATGACAATGCCATTCTGGGCTGGGTGCTGTAGTGGACACCATGTTGCACTGCCCTGATCCAGGGCTGAAGGGCTTACTTCCCCAGCTGCCAGCAGACACCCCTCAGTGCTAAGCCTCCTTCAGGGATTGCTACAGCTGAAGTCTCTTTGCCCAATGTCATGCTCCCTACCCAAGGGCAGCTGCCAGACCATGACTGGTCAATGCAGAGATATGAGTCCCCCTCACTCCAACTAGGGGCATCTCTGAAGGCCACCCCAGCTTGAGAACTCACAGAGTTGGTCTAAGAGTCTAAAATAAGTGATTCAAGTCTGAACTCTTTCATTTTTGACTTTCAGCTACTCCAATGCCTGACAGCTCAGCTCTCCCTCTCCAGCCCAGCTGAGCTCCTGTCCAGTCCATCTCCAAATTAGATCTTCATTAAATCCACTTTTATCCAACCCCCTTGCTACCATCCAACCCTAGTCACCACTCTTCTTGGCCCAGACTATTGCTCCAGGATTTCCCTATTGCTCCCTTCCAAGCCATTCACTATAAAGGAGCCAGAGTGATCACTAAAAATATTTTAAGTCGTTATCACACCCCTGCTTAAAATCCTTTATGGCTTTCATTTGCACTTAGAATTAGGTACATCCTAACCCATACCACACCCTGAATTATCTAGCCTCTGCATGAGCTGGCCTCTTCTCACCCTGCCAGAGTGTCTTGTTCCTCCCTCCCTCTCTCACTCTGCTCTTGCCACATTATCTTTCCTGGACAGCAATAACCTCTTTCCCTCCTCACAGCCCTCAGACATTTGTCCAGTGACATGTAGAGGGGTGGAGTTGGGGGAGCAGTCAACCTGGACAGGTGGGAGTATTTTATCGCTGGCGTTCTTTAGAATTGCCAGAGCATGCGCATGGTGAGACAAAAGCAACTGCCCTTTAGTTGGCTTTATTATTATTCTTTAGTTCTACTCAAACATGTACCATCTTTACTGCCTGCACCCGCACTGACCACTCCTTCCCTGTCTCTTTGGCACACGACTTCACCAGCCCCTCTGTATGAGGATCTCATTCTTCCACCCCCACTTCTTGATAACCCCTACCCATCTCTCAGGCTACAATTTAAATACAACTTCCTCAGGACAGCCTTCTTTGACTCTCAAACTTAAATCTGGTTTCTCACTTATAATACAGGCTTACAGGCTTTTTTTTAAAAAGTAGCACCTATCAAAATTTGTAATTATATATTAATTTGGCTATTACACTTGAATGTGAACTTCATTAGGGCAGGCACCATGACTTTCACCTTTCACATTCATGGTTACAACCCCAGCAGCCAGAGTCATCTCTGGCACATAGTAGGTGTTCAATACATAACTGCTGAATGAATAAATAGTTTGTAGAAATGGAGATCAGGCATGTGTTGTCACAGAAGTCAAGAAGAAACAGTGTACTGAGGAATAAAAGCAAGATGAGACGGTACAGGCACTTATTTTGAAAAGTCTGTCTATGTGGGAGATGAAAGAGTGTTTTCAGGAGGCAGAAGTGGGAACGAAGGAACTGTATTATTTTTTAAGATGGTATTTTAAGACTTGAACAGATTTAACTGCTAATAAGAAGGACCCAGTAGCATGGGAGTGTGCACTGAAATCACCTAGAAGTCTGTTCAAACAGATTGCTGTGTTGCACTTCTAGAATTTCTGATATATAGTGGTGTGGGGTGGGACTGATAATCTGCATTTCTGGCAACCTCACAGGCAATTCTGATGCTGCTGCAATAGGGATCAAACTTTGAGGACCACTGAGATACAGGCTGGAGAAGGCTGGATGTGAGCCCGGGGGGCAGATTTGCCCTAGGCCCGAGGAGGAATATCATCCTCTTGTACAGGAGAGAAGGGGAAAAAAAAATATGGGTACAGGCCCAGGTAGGCTTAAAGGTTAGGGAGTGGGAAGTGGTCACAACTCCCCCTCTAATGGATCCTTTTGTAATTACGAAGTAGGAATTGAGGTCATCTGATGAGAATCAGGAAGGAGAACGAAAGGTAGGGTTAGAAGTTAGAGCAGAATGGAGAGGTTGGTATGGTCACTGTGGGCCGCGTTGCAAGAGACAGAACAGCTCTGTTGGTTCCTGTTGAGGGCTCAAGTGAGGTCAGCAATCATACATTCGTACTGGTGCCAGTCTGCTCTGCTATGTCATTCAAGCTACTGATTAGAATCATATCAACTGAGTAAGGTTCAAGGGCAATCAGATCACTCCAGAGGTTCATATCCTAAAAATATCTCACACTAAGTGTGACTCTCCAGCTGTGTAAGGCACATAACCAAGAGAGACCTAGCATGGCCCAGAATTGCCTCTGGACAAGCCCAGAGAGATCCCTATGTATCACCCTTACTCCTGAAGATGTTGTATCATATCTTTCACTGCTAGTGTGTTCAGGTATGTGTTTATTAGTAATAAATTTAAATTTTGTACACTTATAATCAGCTTTTCTTTAAATGGCAGCATTATTTTACATTGAGATATTTACACAATTTCCATATAAGAAAGATGGGATTCAGAAGTAGGACTACTTTATTCCCCTCACTCCTCTCTGTGCTAGCCACTTGTTGATCCCATGGAAAGAGCTATCAGCTTGCTCAGAATTCAGTCTCTGACATGTCATTCTGAGTTATGTTGGCCACCAGAAACCAAAAGTAACAAGAAAGGAAGAAAACTGGAACTGTAATTCAGCACTACACAAACAAACATGCTCACTGCTGGTTGTGGTAAAGGTCAGGAGAGCTGGAATCTGGCAAGCTGTCAAGTGGAGGAAGTTTCTGAGCTATGGGAAGCTGAACAAATAGTCTGGGGAGTGAAAAGCCCTCATACCACTAAGCTTAGCTTTCACTGAGGGAAACTGTAATTGGCTGTAAGTGACAGAGGATGGTGACAGGGCTGTTCTTAGGGCTATTCTCTTTAGGAGAATGCTATAGTTAAAACAGAAAAGTTTCTACTGTTAAAGCCATGTAGAATATGTGTTAATTTTATGTGTATTGGCCCATTCATTTGGTGTTAATAATGACATCTATTGGAGATAGAAATGGAAAGAGAAGATGATGCAAATATGATACCTGGTGCAGGAATCCAAAGAGTGTAGGGATTACATGCATACACACCTACATACATACATTCACACTCAGGTAGAGAAGGCTGCTGATCTGACAATTATTAAAGAAAGAAATGCTTTCATGCTTGTTGGTAAACAGCCACTGTCCTGAGCTCCCTGAGTGCCCTCTGCTGCCCCAGTCTTCCCTGTACCTCCTCCCTGCTCACATTTCAGCAGCTAAGGGGTTAATATCAGCAGTGGACCTCTGGAACTCCCTAGCACATTAAGGTCTCCACTTGGATTGATCAATAGCCCATAGCATATTGGTTGTTAAATGTCTTAATATCACCCCTGTATGTAGATGTATGTTGCATAGAATTACCTGCAAATTGTGAATTGTCTAATGAAGAATTACCTGCATCAAGATCACTTGGGTACCTGTCAAAAATGAGGATGCTTAGGTCCCACATACTGGACCCACTGCATCTCTGTGAGAAGGGCCATTTTTAACTAGTCTGTATTTTCTAGCATTTTCATCCTAGCTTCCATCTAGATGTCAAGTTCTTTGAAGGGAGGATCTTAAGTCCTAAAACTCTTGGTATTCACCACTATGCCTGGCTTAGTGCTTGCTGACTGACAATAAAGAGGACAGATCATTGCTTCAGAAGTGTGTGCCGAAAAGATAAATTAGGTTTGATGACGATGATGGCGATGACAACTATAGCAGCCATGGCTAATCCTTATGAGTGCTTATCATATGCCAGGTACTATGAGAAGAGTCTTAGATGCCTCATCTAATTGAACCTGCACAATAACCTTAGTAGGTACTGCCATTATGTCCATTTCATGGCCGAGGAAACTGAGGCTCAGAGAGATGGAGGGACCTTCCCAAAATCTCATTATTGGGAAAAACAAAGACTACAGTCTTTACCTGTCTGATTTCAAAGTCTATACTCTTTCTTATTTACCATGCCATATTGGCTCTTAGATTAGAAAACAATTCTACATGTAATTTATAAATCAGATTCTTTGGAATTAATCTCTTCAATTTGCTTTTGTTTCATATTTATTTGTTGCATTTTATTATATTATAGGGAGGGGAAGTGGGCATGGAAGATGAAGAGATTGCAAAAGCTATACTCTCTGACTTTCAGGAACCAAGGTGAAGGAGATTGAATATAGAAAGTAGAAGGTATATATAAATATTCCCCAATACTTAGGAGCAATTGGAAACCTTTTAGCTAAAAAATATAAAATCATAAAGCATTTACTGAAAAAACAGTTAGACTACTGCAGCTGTCACTACACCTTGAAAATCAAGTTAAGAAGAGAACGATTTTGAGGTCATGGCTAGAAAGTGAGTAGTAAGGAAAGGGAATCAAGATGAGAACTCATTGTCAAGAAATAATGAGGGCACCTGCAATTTAGAAAGACCATCAAGGGGCCAGTTGATGCCTGAACCCGACAGTGGGCAAGACAAGCAGTCTGGATGTGGAGAAATTAATGCGGCTCATAAGGGATAGTGGATTGAAAGGATAACTGGGCTTTATATGCATTCAGGTTTGTTGTGAAGTATCCTGCCAGGATGCTGGGATTGATGAGATCACAGAGTATTATTATTTGATTCTGGTTAAAGCATCCTTATGCACTGAGCTTAATGAAGAATGGCTAATTAGCATCTTTTGAATATAAGGAAAAAAAGGAATACACATTAGAATTGTCTTTTCAAGGCAAAAACAAACCCCAAATCAAATCTAGATTAATAGCATCAGCGTGCTTATTCAGACTTCGATACTGCATACCAATTCCAGTGCTTTTCTTTGGATACAGACAACTTTCTAATCATCCTCATTCATTCATGATATACTGAGAAGACTAGATTGATTCTTACTGGGATCTGGGCAAAATCCCCACTTCTGATCTCTTTCATAGCGGCTTGTCGTGGCACACCACAGTAAGTCATCTTCCCGACCTTCCCGGGTACATTTGTGATGCCACTGATGGTCATATTGGAAGGGAAACACACATGGCATCCCGTGGGCATTCCCTTTGATTGTATACAAATCTAGGAGAAAGAAATTTACAAAGTCAGATAAGTATGAGGTCAGCTTTATCTTTGGAAACTGCCATGTAGTTAATGCATTTTTTAGCAACTAAAACCTCTTGGGGGCAGGTACTCGCCATAGCAGAGTGAGCCCTTGGGTCCTCACAGTGTGGTGTCTGTAGAAGTGCCAGACTGAATGCTGGGCCCAGAGAACATGCTGATAAATGATTTACTTATGTCTTTACCCACTCGTTTATTTACTACTGTGCATTGCTATGGTAGCATACATATTTGTGAATGGATAAGAAAGAAAATTTAATGGAGATTTTTACTTCAAATTATCTTCCAGTCCTCAAACACATCAGCCATCAGCATATCAAGTTCAACAGTTTCACAGGCACTTATTAATTTTGAATAAATTAAGTGAATCTTAACAAATATTTATTGAGCATTTAATATGCCCAGTAATGGGGATACAGTAGTGAACAAGCCAGCAAAAGTTCCCTTTCATGTGGAGATTCTGTTCTAGTGGAGAGAGAAGAGAAAGCAAATACACAAATCAACATATAATATAATTTCAGGTAGCAGTAAGCACCATGAAGAAAATCAAAACAGGATAAGAAGACAGAGAGACTCTGTGTGTGTGTGTGTGTGTGTGTGACTCGGTGTGTGTGTATGAAGGGATGGAGGGGTACTACTTTGGATGGGGGTCAGCGTATGGCTGCTCTGAGTAAGAACGGGCTGAAGTGAGGGTGTAAGTCTTTGGGAAAAGAGTTGTTCCTGCAGGAGGAACAGCAAGTATAAAGGACGTGAGACAACAGGGCACGTAGGGTGAATGAGGAAGGGCAAGGAGGCCCGATGGCAGGGAATTAGGGAGGTCCTGGGGCGTTAGCTCACAGAGAGCCCTCTCCCCACCATATTATGGACTTTGGCCTTTACTCTGACGGTGGTGGGAAGTCACTAGTAGGTTTTGAATGGGAAAGTGACACGATCAGATTCCAGTTTTAGAGAATCACTCGGGATACCGTGTGGCAAACAGCCTACACCAGGAAAGGGCCAAGCAGGATGGCAGGCTGGGTGGCTTCTAAATGGTCAAGAGAGATGACCATGCAGAGGTGGCCTTCTGGTGGCTTTGTTAGATACTGCAATAATCAGTCATCCTTGGTGTTAAGCAGGAATCAATAAAACTTTTTGTGACTCATCTGGGGCTTTTTACGGTGAGGGAGGTCAGAGCCACCCTCAATTAAGTCCATAAGTCCTGGGATGAAAGAGCCAGCTGTGGAGATTCTCACCACTTTCCCACAATTGGCAGGGGCTGGACTGAGCTCACAATATGTGGCCAGTTTTAGAGGTTAGGGCTGTTTAGGAACTACAGGTATTTCAGGACACATCCTTTTGTTTCAATCCCCTGCCTTCTACTCAAAAGCATGCGTTACCTAGAGCCTTCCCCTGAGTGCATTGTGAGTATGGGTATATGACTAAAAAGTTAACATAAAGCAAAATTTTAAGTTCTTCTTTAGAACTATAAATTATCTGGAGTGCTGATTTGCAGCCCTTGCTTTATTGTAGTGATCCTGAAAATGTCTTGCTCTTGGCTCTGTCTCTTTTTACTCATTCCTTGTAGCTACAGGAGAGAGTCCTGCCTTGGACCTTAGGAGTTCCTTGCTCTGCTTTCGAGGACAGGTACAGAGTTCTTAAGAGGATATGCTCTCATTAAGGCATAATTGTACATGCTTACAAGAGGGGAGAGACTACATCTGTCTTGCTGGCCTTTGTAAACAAGGCCTAGCACTGTGCCCGATGAACAGTCAGTTCTTGACAAATGTGTTATGGATAAATGGATGGATGGATGGATGAATAGAGAAAGCTACAAAATAAACCCTGAGAGACAGGTTTAAGGTTTCACAACTTAACTATGTGACTTTCTTTCTTTTATTGTTTTTTGTTGTTTAAAAGTAACAGAACTATGGAAAACAAAATCTCCCTATAAAGCATGCTTCCCCGCAAACCATAGTTGGCACACGTTAAATAACCCCTGACAATAGTCTGTCACTGATCGTCAAGTGACTTGTAATCTGACCATCCCATGGACGCCAGCCAGGCATCAGGAGGCATTTGAGGGGCCCCCACTCACACCTCCATGGGCAGGGCTGAGTGCCTACAGTAAGAAAAATGGTGGCAGGGGAGGTTCTTATATTTACCCTGACAAAAGTCTTCCCTTCAAAGATCTTCTCCTTCCACCTTCCTTTTCAATCTTCCTCCTCTCCTCTTGTTCTTTCTCCTTTCCATTGATTCCCAAAGTTAGTTAAATGTTTTTACCCCCAATACCTTTAAATTCTGAGTTCTGCTTTATTATCAGAATTTAGCATGTCTATTCCAAGACTCCAGTAATCCTTTTACCATAAAAGCAAGAAAGCAACTGAAATGTATTTACCAGAAGATCTAGGCTCTGTGTAGTTCTCTCACGTAATGCTTCACAAATCTTTACTTACGGGCAAACTTTCTAAACATACCATTCCATGAGTACTTTGATTCAACTTATTTTTACCTCTGTGAAGATATTCACAAACATCTTCACCACCTGAGGAAATCCAACTATGGAGATGCTTCCTTGAAGCCACCACTGTGTTGTCGTGCTCCCCCTGGAGCATATACTGCAGAGGGCCAGTGATCACCTTCCTGTTACAGCGCCACCTCAAGGAAACATGGGTGGAATCACATTCATAGATGCTTAATGGCTGCTCTGGATTTGATAAGTTTAGGCCCAGGCAACCACTGCCTCCTACGTTAAAGAGGTGGTGGTTTGAAACCCATTTCCACAACATGTTCTTGTTTGGCTGTTCGCAGTTCTCCAGGGTCAGTATAGATCCACCCGCCTGAATGCATTTCTTGAGGCTCTCACTTTGCATAACGAATATTCCTTTGTCTGAAACAGAAAAATAAAAGATGTGGTATGAACTTTTCATACAGAATTAGCTAGTGTCATGAAGATACTGCTGTGCCTATCTAAGCTGAGATATGTCACAGCTGCCAGCCATGTCAGACAGATCTGGAGTTGATGGGTAGGGTCCACCTAAAAGGCTTTATTTGCTCAAAACAGAGGAATTTCTTCCTTGCTCAACCCATTCTCACCATGTGATACCTTGGTCAACGTGCGACCCTGTAGAGAGTTCTCACTAAGAAGGCGGCCCTCAACAGATGCGCCCCATGGACTGTGGACTTCCCAGCCTCCTGAACTTGTCAAATCAAACCTCCTCAAACAATATAGCAAACAGGAGCTTCCAGATTGCAAAGCTGTTGGGTTTTTTACCTCTACTTTCTGGGAGGATGATGTACCCAATTCCATGGGGACAGAAGCTCCCAGGCTTGGGACCCTTCCAGACTTCCCCTTATGTGTCTTTTCATCTGGCTGTTTATTTGTATCCTTTAAAATGTCCATTTATGGGCCGGCCCGGTGGCGCACTCGGTAGAGTGCGGCGCTTGGGAGTGCGGCAGCGCTCCCGCCGAGGGTTCGGATCCCATATAGAGACCGGTCCACTCACTGGTTGAGCGTGGTGCAGGTGCGACACCAGGGGTTGTGATCCCGTTGCCGGTTGCAGTACGGGCGCGACACCAAGGGTTGCGATCCCGTTACCGGTCACGAAAAAAGACAAAAAGGAAAAAAAAAATCCATTTATTACAAAATGGGTAAATGTAAGCCTATATGAACCCAATAGCGATGGCCAGATCAAGGGGTCCAATGCAGTCCTCAGGGCCAACGATCCAGGATTATCTGAATCGATCAAGCCCTACCCCGGAAGAAGTGAAAGAGCAACCACAAAAGAAAAAGAAAGGCTCTAAGCCTCTGGCTCAATTTGAAGAAAAAAATAAATGAGAACTAGAAGAAAGAACTAGAAAAACACAGGGAGAAATTGTTAAGTGGAAGTGAGAACTCATCCAAAAAAAGAGAGAAAGAAAAAAGTAAAGACAAAAATCTGGTAGGTATTCCTCTTCTCATCAAGTTCTGATTCTTCCAGCAGTTCTTCAGATTCTGAAGATGAGGATAAGAAACAAGAAAAAAGGAGAAAGAAAAAGAAGAACTGTTCACATCAATCTTCATATCAGAAACTGAATTAGACAGTAAGGATATTAAAGGACTTAGCAAAAAAAGAAAGATGGATCCAGAAGATCAACCTTTATCATCTGGGTCCTTGTGAGGATCAGATTACTTTGAGGAGGTATGAGCAAAAAGAAGAAAAGCGGTGATGAGTGAGAAAAAGCAACAGAAAATAAATTTAAAAAGAAAAAGAAGCATAAGAAATGCAGTAAGAAGAAAAAGAGGGCTGTTAGTTCAAATCCTGACTCACCTAACAGTAAGAAAAACCAGGATCCCCTTATAAAGAAAGTGCAATGTCTAAGGAAATTTCAACGTAAAAATTATGACATGTTTACTAAAATGCAAAAAAGAAAATACAGCAAACATTACACCACGTCAAGTATTCCAACTCTCTCATGTGGAACAAGTGCGAGCTGAGGACCTGCACACAGTGAGAGAAGTAAGACTGGAACCCAGCTCTTCCTGCCCCTTGTCACCACAATCCCCACGATTGCTTAATGTCCTCCTGTTCTCAAGGTGAGGGGAGGAGGCTTGCTTAAGGGAAGGAACAGAGACCAGGCTCGATCACTGGAAACAAACAGACAAGCAGCCCAGCACCACACTGGGCGTTTCTGAATACATTTGGAGGTGAAAGGAATATAAGTGCGTGTCAACCTTCCATGGTGCAGGCTGCATGATGTAGTAGAGAAAAGCCAGACAGATCTGGTTGAAACCCTAGCTTTTCTATTGGTCTAAGTAACTTGACTTTGGGAGAGTTCCTCCTTTTTCTAGACTATATATAAGGAGAAATATAGTTGGTATGAGAATTTTGAGAAAAGACATGCAAAGTGCTAATTGTTGAGACTGGCTTAAACGTTGGGACTCACATAAATGTGAGTTCTGCTCTTTTCCAAAAAAAAAAAAAAAACCCAAAATGAAAAAACAGAGGAATTCTTGGCAAGTATAAAAGGACTTACTGGAGTTCATGGGAGGCCTCTGATCTAAAACCCCCTTGGCCATTCAGGAACAAGGGCTGTTAATCTACTCAGCTATGGTACTGATGGGGAAGGAGCTCACCACAACTAGATAGAGAATGGGGATTGGAAATAAGGGGCTAGTGGGGAGGGACACTGGGTGCCTAGGGTTATGGTGACACTTTGGTTTTCTTCAGACAAATGCCTCAATGTTAGGAACACAGCAGCTGAATCAAGAGCCACTGAAATGAAAATCTCTACTGTCAAGTTCCAGTAGAAAAGCAGAAGGATATAAGTGAAGTACTGCTTCTCCACATTTTCTGTCTGTGCTGGATCTGTTGGGAGTGGAAAGGTGGAGACAGTTTTCCTAGGGGCTGGACTCTGGGCAGGAGTAGCCTGTTGGGTGGGACTGGCAGCAGCAGGTGGATCTAGGACACTAGCTGAGGTCCCACCCCTAGATATTCGAGAGGTTTGAGAGCACCATGATGGTGGGGAGACCAGAGGCCACATGGACGTGTGGAGAAAGCAGGCATTGTGTGATATACCCCTGAACTCTTCCCACTGGAGACAGAAGGGATTTGGGCAAGTTTCTTGTGGAAAGGACCTAGGCAAGGAATACATGTTAGCTACCTGCCTGCTACCTGAATTTACCTCAAGTTGCTGGCCGAGAACACACCTACTATACAACAATTATGAACTTGTTTACTCACAGGTTGGTTTTTTTTTTTTTTTTAAAGATGACCGGTAAGGGGATCTTAACCCTTAACTTGGTGTTGTTAGCACCACGCTCTCCCAGTGAGCTAACCGGCCATCCCTACATAGGGATCCAAACCCGTGGCCTTGGTGTTATCAGCACCACACTCTCCCAAGTGAGCCACAGGCCGGCCCTCTCACAGGTTTTTTGAAGATGGAATCACACCTCATTTCTTTGGTCTGAGCACAGTGTACTGAGCACATCGCAGAAGTTCAATAAGTGCTTGATGTTGACTAAACATGCTGGTAGCTGCTGCTTAGGCCTATGGCTGCTGAGGTTTCTTCAGCTCAGAATGTCTGGTCAGTTCTAAGAGCTCTTCTGTTCTCCCACTAGCTAGGCTCCCCTCTTATATTTTACTTCCTATCTATTCTTCAAAACTCTGCAAGGACTCATCAGTTTCCCTTAAAACGACTGGGGTTTAGGGCAGGTCGTGCCATGTGGCAGAGGCAGAGGTGGGACAGGCAGAAGTCTTCGAGAGATTTGGAACAGTGCAGAATGAGCCTCCTCACATATCAGTGCAAGGGAACAATGCTTCGTTTTGGTAAAAGTTCTTTTGGTTTCTCCAAAGTTAATCAGGCTGAGGAGAACTGATTTAGAGTAACCAAAGTCACTTAAGACACTGTTAAAAAAGATTGTCCATGTGTTAATGAAAGCTATACCTCTTTTAATAATTGATAATCTTACTTATCGCCATGTATTTGAGGAGTTGAATTAGTTGTCAGAAAATTGCTTTGATCACCATACAGCAGAGCAGAGAAGGGAGTGGGGGCAGAGGAGAGAATGAATGGTTTTAGGAAGATTTCATTTAGATCAGGAAATTCGTTTTCCTAATGAAAGCCACGTCCGTATGGTTATTAGTAATAGTCATTCAAAATCAAATTCACCTCTCGTTAAACGATATGAACTCTGATAATTAACCTTCTCTTCAACTCTTCCTTTTACCTTTTCATGCTTGGGTAGAATGTTAACCTTAATTTCTGTTGTAACCTACTAATTACTTTCTAGCTAGCCCAGAGTTTCATTAATTTTTCATTAGAGCATAATTACTTTATTATAATGGCTCTTCAGTTCAGCTTCTACCTGTTCGAATACATCCAGTTCTGCAACTTATTGACTGGTCCTCAGTTTATATACCTAAGAGCTCTAGAATCAAGCAGACCCAGCCCAGACCAGCTGTGTAACTTTAGGCAGATTCCTTAATCTCTGTGAGCCTCATCTCTCCTCTCTGAACTGGGAATATGTATGATCCTGACCTCATAGGGATGTTAAGTCTCTTCCATTAAAAAACCCGTGCAGAGCACACCACATACTACCATGAGAAGTGGGAAGACCTCAGTAAACGTGAGTTGTCACTATTATTATTATCCCTCCGACTTCCTGATTCTTATAGACCCAGCTGTAGATTTGGTTGAACACTATAGGGTGCTAATCTGTGCATCCCCCAAAGCCTTCTCTTCTTCCATCCTTAGCACGAAAACTTATTTTTCCTTTAGTTTCTGCAGCACGTAGTGGGTGCAGACCATTTTAGTTTTAAACAGTTCTGAGACACCATGCTATTGTCTTTTATGGAAGAAAAAATACTCTCCAAACAACCAGATAACAAAATCCTTGCTTCGTTAGTTCAAATATATGTGCGATTATGAATTAAGAGTCTTCATCTGTTGATCTTCCAAATTACCAACCTGTATAGTCTAACTGCAGCTTTTTTACAGGAAAGAGAAAAATACATGATGTTGACAAGCAGTGTGCAGATGGGGGAATGGGTGGTCTGTGAATAAGTGGACATGGAAATTACATACCACTAAAATTTGGGGTGAATAAATAATGTTTTTAAACTCCCAAATTATTAAGTATTAAGAGAAAAAGAGCAGCAGAATTAGAACTTCTTTAGTCACACCAGTGATCATAGCCAAAGATATTAGGCAAACCTAATCTGATGCTTCTCAGTTTTGGAGTCTATTACATTTCCATGCCAGCTGCCTTTAAGATGTAGCTTTGGAAAAGTTCTTCAGAATGTATCATAAACTGACAGCTGTGGCTTATCAGTAACAGTGAACATGCTACCTCCAAATATATTAAGCTAAAAAATGACCTGAGCCCATTTTCCCATTGTTATAACAGAA